ACCAAGCAGGATGACTCTGGCTACTGAGAAGGCCAGAGCCTGCCCAAGTGCACGAGGGGATGATGGGATGAGGGTGTCCATGGGCTGAAAATTTCACCTGTGCAGCCAGGATTTGGAAAGCATCGCTACACCCGCAGTGCACAAAGGGACAGAGAGCTGCAGTAAGTCAACCTGGGGTCTGCATGGCTTGTCCATGGCCACAAAGGACTCGTTTGCAGGTGAGGATGCAAAGCTTGGTCTTCTGGATCCCAGGAGACAGACTTAATTAAAAAAAACAAAACACCAAACGAAACTCCTCTGACTGAAAGCAAAGGAAGAAATTAATGTTATAAGTTTTGGGGCTGAAGTCCAGTATCAGAAAAAGCTTCATGGGAGTCAGGAAACTGTGGCATTAGTAATCAGGTAATTAACCGGTTGCTTTGATGATCCTCTTCAAGGGCATTTTGGCCACAGTCTGCAGGCTGGTTTCTCTGTTATATCTATTTGTACATCCATCCTCTCCATTTGTCTATGGGTTTCCTGCTGCCCATCACTCACAATACCATCGTGCCCATGTGCTGCCCAGTAGCACCAGGCAGATGGAGCACCTGCAAGCACGAGACCTTCACGGGGAGTCAAAGTGGATCCTGCATCAGCCAGCCCAGGTGTATTTTTAAAAGGTAAGTCCAAACAGATCAGGGGAATAATCAGAGGAAAGAGCATTTGCTGGACAATGCCAGCGAGTCCAAGACAAGTTCCTAAAAGCCACCAGCCACACCAGCAAAAGCCCAGAGAGTGCCCAACACCCTGCCCACTTCTTCATGATAAAGTGGGCATCTCCACAAAATTTTAAAACAGCCCAGAGTTTGCCAAGATATGCTCTCCAGAGTCTAATTTATGTGGACATCATGGAAAATCCTGCAGTAGCTCAGCAAGTCTACTTGACCGTACAAAGCTCCTGCGAGGCCTTGGCCCCAAATGGGACAGGCTGGAGACTTGCTCAAGTCCTTCAATGGTTTCTCGAAGTTGTCTCCAGAGTCTAATTTATGTGGACATCATGGAAAATCCTGCAGTAGCTCAGCAAGTCTACTTGACCGTACAAAGCTCCTGCGAGGCCTTGGCCCCAAATGGGACAGGCTGGAGACTTGCTCAAGTCCTTCAATGGTTTCTCTTAAGTCCCAGCGCTGGAGAGAAACCACTCCTGGTCCCTTGTCTTGCATCAGAACATCTCCTGTCAGGGGTCTCAAGGAAAAAAGTACAAGTGTCAGCCTTTAAATGATGTGAAATAATCCACAGCCTTCCGAGAAGAAAAAGCACCCATGGTTTTGGGTTTAATTAATCTAGTTCAGGTGCCGATTCCTGTGGCTCAAGCCCAAATCCATCAAACACTGCTCTTGGGTATGGGGTGATGAGTTCGAGGCAAAGCTTCACCAGGGTTGGTGCTGGTGTTGCAGGGGCAGGATTTCCCCTCGCCCCTGAAAAAGCTCAGGAATACAAATGCCAGCTGCTGAAACCTAGTGAGATGGAAGCGGCGCGCAGGAGAGCCAGCTCCTCCCTGGACCAGCGTTAGAAAAATCATGAGTTAACAAAGTGTAACACACACAACCACATTTCAAGTAGGAGGGCAAAGCTGCTCCTGACCACCACGACAGGACCTGTCTCCTGGGTGAACAAAGTGTAACACACACAACCACATTTCAGGTAGGAGGGCAAAGCTCCTCCTGACCACACCTGCCTCCTTGGTCAGCTGGAAGCTGTATGGAGGGTGGAAGGGCTTGGGAGAGGGCACAGGTTAAGAGACTCACAATAATTTAAAAAAAAAATAAAGGCCTCATCTTTTTAGGTCAAAGCGTGGACGTTGCCATAGATGCAACACAGAGACAGGAAGTGGCTGAAGGAAGACATTGCCAAAACCTCACGAAACTAGACTGAAGGCAAAGTGTGTCCCTGGTTACTAGTGATGGAGACAAAAATAAGTTAGCCCACAAACAGATTGTCTTCTCCAGGTGTCGCCCTCCAGATGGGTATACATCCCCTGAGAACCACATCCAACTGTCTCCAAATGGCCCCCAGTGCATCCATGTTCAGTCTCTCGACAGCCCCCAGCTCGTTAGGCGAATGCCGATGACGAGGCAGTGATACTGTGCAGCTCATGTCCGTTGGCTTCGTGCCCCCACTTGGGACAGAGCATCCACCCAGGCAGCCCCTGGAGGGACACAGGACCCTTGGGGTGGGTATCTGGAAGGCTTCTGTGCACGCCGGCCATGGTCCAAGGCTGGATCCGGGGATGAGCGCCGGCCTCTTGGGTAACTCTTCCCCCTTCCTGGCTCTTCTCCTCGCTCTTGCCCAGGGCTGATGCTGGGGGTGGGCTCCAGGCAGGAAAACCAGCAGAGCTCCATGGGCTTCCGTGGAAGGAGAAAGCACAGCAAGGGAAGAAGGCTGACTGCAAACCCCCTTCACCACTCTTTTCTCTAAGATCCCAGAATATCACTCGGAGCTTATTAAATAGTGCCTCAGCCTCCTAAAGAGAAGTTTGGCCTCAAATCGTTTTCTTGGCATTTCTCTTAAAAGAAACTTTGAAAAACCCATTTACAACTAAGCACAGCATATCGGATATAAGCACTTTTCCTTCTCTTCCCACCCCACTGAATATATTTAAGTAAAGCAACATGAAGGTATGACTTCAAGGAGAAATGCATTTCAAGCTACAGAAATCTGCTTATATTTTCATAGATCCTCAGCCACCGCATGTATTTAGACTTTCAACAAAATTTGCTAGGACTTTGCAAAGGTGGAAGAAATAAAGCAGTTTAAGAAGCAACATTCACCTGAGCAACCTCGTGGGTCTACTTGTGGCATGTGCATCTCACCAGGAGGGTCAGCTGTGCCTGTCCTTTTCCCAAATGCTACACAGTGGCATTTTGCTATGTTTTTGCAGGAAGTTGCTGCTCGAGGAGACAGTTATCCTGCTGCCACAACCAAAGCAGAGAGCTCTTAGTGGCTGAGATGTGGCGAGAAGGATGTAAGCCCAAAGCCTGAAGTGCTTAGAAACCATCCTGTATTTCACAGGCCTCAGACATTCAAGACTAACAAAATGCTTCTGCTCTGTTTAAGTTTTGTTTCTGTAAGCATGGCTCCTTTTAATAAGTAACCAGTGTTGATCTTCGGTTTTCCACATCCCAAAGAGCTTAAGAGCAAGTCTCCTGCCCGATCAAGAAACTGAGTCAGCTGAAAACCATCAAGAAGCTCCTGGGTTCTGCCTGGCACACCCTGCCCCTATTTCTTGCAGAAGGGCAGAGCTAATCTAAGTCTGTCAGCCCTCACCCTAATCACACCAGAAGTTCTGGAGCACATCAGCTCCAAAGACAACTCCTGACTCCTTCCAAACCTCCTGCCCATCCTCATGCTTCCACAAGCAGCAGCAGGATGTCTATGCAGGCATTCACTGGGATTGCCATCTAAAGGTACATCAATCATGTTATAATTTACACAGGAGACTAAAGCACTTTGCTGCTTAATACCAGGGTCATACTAAGCCTGAAGGAAAGATGGGCCTTGCTTTTCCTCTCACAAAGCTTCCACCAAAGCCCATGACTCTGGTGTCACCATCACTGGCAAAGAAAAAAAGAATATTAGAACAAAGAGGTGGCTGAAAGAAACTCCATGTCAAAGGAGGCTGGTGTACTGAAAGACCATGACGTGTCTGCAACACAGGGTTTGTCTGGGGAAATTCATACACGAGACGTTTGGCATCTAGAAAATGAACCACGTTTCCAAAGGACAGACCCAGTTCCATCACTCTTGTACTACTTACAGAAGCTTTGTAAAGCACTTTTGAGAGAAGGAGTTGCGGGATCAAGCCCCAGGACTCTTTATTAATTAAAGTGTTTAAATAATTGAAATGTGCAGTCTCTTGACTCTCCTTAGCATGGCTACCTGCTCAAGAGCTGACATAAATTATGGAAAAAAATCATATGCATGAGGACAGCGTTATCACCTTGAAGGACTGAACAGATCTAATGGCTCTGCAGCACTGAAAGATGCCAATGGCCCTAAGAAGGATGATGTGATGGGAGGAAGATGGTGAAACCTCATCTCCAGGGACATTGGGATGCTCAGGAAGAGTCATGTGGTCAAAGCAGGTGCCAAAATGCAAAAGCGAGAATTTGCTGGCAATTTTTGACCACTAACAGGATAAAGATGCATGTGGAGAAACCTGCCAGAGAGGACTCTGCCACTGAGCTTTTATATGGAAAGCTACTGAAGGCAGGTAGTGCTAGAGTTGTCCCAGTCCTGCGACACAGCAACCACTCAACTCAAACTGAGGCTGCCAGAAGACCAGGGGACTGAGGGAGAGAACTTGATGTGAACATCAGAGGAAATCTCTTGAGTCAAAAAAATTCCCTAATATTTTACAGATTTCTCAGAAGCCACACGTGATTTTTGAGGAAAACCTTTAAAGGGATCGGATTTTCAAATGTTCCAGTGAAAAATGGCAAACGTTACAGGCCTTTGGACTCAGTGGCCCACTCAAGTATTGGCCACATCAGCAAATGATGCTATTAATGATGCAATCTCATGGTCAGGCACATACCTCACAGACATCAGCAATGAAATCAATGCAACGCAGAAATCTACGTCCTGAGAAAGTTCCTCCATGGGATGCAATGCAAACCTCACCCTCGAATGGGGTCAAAGCTGGAAGAAATACTGGCACAGGTAAGAATCTCTTTGAAATAATAAATACAAAAGATGTATTTTTTTCCTTAAGTTTTTTTTTTTTTTTTTTTACTCATGACAGCATTTGTTAAAAATATTACATCTGCTTTTGAGAAGGCAATATCCTCTCCATATAATATGGAAAAATAAACTCTACAGGACACGCAACAGATACCCCCAGTTGGCACAGAGCTGCTTTAAAAGATTAGATCCAGAGACTCATCAACACGGAGTGCTGGTTTTGCCTTCCTTGTCCCCAGATCCTTAAAACATTGTGTTGTAGGAATGGTAAAAGACAAGAATACATAAAAACAGTAAAATGTTTATTTTCTTAGAAAAAAAGAGATTCAAAATGATTGTGATCACACTCCCATTCGTGCTCAGCAAAGCCAATACTGCAAGCTTAGTCCTTGATTAAGATACCTATTAAATGAAACTCTTTTTCCTCTTAAAATACAAATTCCTGCTCCTGCATCACTTCCAGTATTTCAGTGATAACATGCTTTTAATGGATAATGGTTTCTCGGCTTCTTCTCAGCAGAGAAACAAGGCCTGCCATGGCAAAAAAATCCCATCTCCGAAGCTTGAAATCACCAGCATTAATAAGCACTCGGGCCTGACCGCGGACTGACAGACAGTTTAAGGGTGTTTCTTAGATGCCTGAATGTTCACTTATGGAAGCTTTGTATAACACTACCTCATCTGATAGAAAACAGGCCAGAAGCCTCAATAAAATCAACAACGTCTTTTTGGATTAACTTTAAGGATTTGCTGCGTATCTGGACACAGAAAAAAGTGAGAAGTTGCAACAAGTTTTAACTAGCAGCAACAAAAACAGTTTCTTACGAGTTCTTAGCGATATTCCTCATCTGTTCATTAAGAAACACTGTAACTGAATGGAGCATATAATGTGGAAATTATCTTCTTCTGTTATGTAGTGCTGTTCGCTCTAGAAGACTTCCAAAAGGTCTCAACTGGGTTGTAATCTATTTACACAGTAGTTCTCCTGGCGCGAGTGGCAGAATTGGCACTATGTGACATCCTCCTCTTCTGAACAATAATCACGACCCTGTAAGGAAAAGAGCCAGACAGTTTGTAAATGACTACTTTAAGACAGGAAAACCATAAATCAAGTACGGGCTATTAATATATTTCACTTCTCGAACCTTGGGTGATTTCAGTTCAGAGCTAGGTGGAAACCTGAGAAATAGGGACCATTCTCCTCCAACCATTTCTGGAAGATTTGCGTGAAACTGGGACAGGAGACCCTTCCCTTTCTGTCACCGTTAATCTCATCATGTTCATCCCCTATATTGAGTTCCGTGGGGAATCCAATAAACTGATTTACAAAACTATTTTATGTACAGATCCAGCCTGATGGACACAATCCAATAGGTCCATTGCAAGAACATAATCTCCGAGGTAAAAGCAATGAAGCACGTAATGCTATCAGCAATGCAAGTCAGCTGCTGTGAACAAGACTATTTCATCTGATAACCTCAGCAAGAGTTCACTCTAAGAGAAAAAGATACTATTTGTATTGAAATCACACTTGCACAATGGGGGAAAACAGGTCAAGCTTCCCAAAACACAGACCTTCCACCTCGTACCAAACACAGGAGCAGCATCTACCTATGTATCAACCTCAGGAAGGTCTGGAGAAGACATGTCCTGTCCCTCATTATCTGTTTCTTGCAAAGAGGACCAGATGGGACCCGCTGTCCTTGTTTCTCTACACAGAAACAGCCACAGCTGAGCTTTTCAACACACAAGCCACCCAAGATATAGTGCAAAAAAACCAAGTGCCTCAAACACAGTGTCAAAAATCTTAACCTCTGGACTGTTTCCCATGTGCTGGGTGTATCACCCGAGTACTTGCATGGAAAATCCCAGTAAGTGAGCACAGGGTTGGCAAAGAAGAAGGAAAGGAAAAAACACGATTTTCTCAGACGTGAAATAAAGTGTAAAAGCTCGACAACACCCTGTAAGCAGAGGAGACCAGAACTGCAGTGGTTAAATGGGTGAAACTCTATGGACCGAAGGGACACCTGGTTGCCCCGCGGATTAAAACATACCTGGGAAGAGGAGGGTGAAAGAAAAAAAAAAAAAAAAGAAAAGGGAGAAATGTTTCTTGATTAATTTATTTGGGATACACAAAAAAAAAAAAAAAAAAAAAGGGAGAAATGTTTCTTGATGAGTTTATTTGGGATACAAAGCTGGTGTACGTGCTGGGAACAAGGACTCCAAAATGTCTCTGACACACAGAACGTCCCACTGACGATGCTGTGGCTGCAGAGCTCGCTGTGCTGGAGGACCCACACCCAGGACCACGCAGCGCTTTAGCAGCTCTCTACGGCCCAACACTAGTAGTAAAAGGGCTTTCTTAGTATGGCAAAAAAAATCCCCAAGAGACTGATCAGCCCTAATTTCAATCCAGTAATCACTGACCCAGAAAGAAAGAAAAAAAAAAAGGTTTTTTTTAAAGTAAAAGATTTGACTCAGAAAAAAGGAACGCCGAAACACTTTGCAGCAAAGCCCAAAACCATTGGTTTGGACTTTTGGACAAAACCATGAGAGTAAACCAGTGGCAACAAAGGCTTTGTCCAACATGCTATAGAGCTGTGAAAGCCACCAGTGGTGACTGGTAACTGAGGCTCAGGACATTTCCAGGAGATTCATCTACCTGGTTCCCCGGCCTCCTGCTCAAGAGGGAGCCCTGTGGCCCATCACGCCCCGCCACGCTCTGCACCGGGGGCCAGCAGTGCCATGAAAGCCTCAAACAGACCCAAAACACTGAAGAAAGCTGTCTGGCCTTTTTTCCTTCCCATTCCTCCTGCTGTTCTTCTGCTTCTGGGTTTGCTCTATGGCAACCGAGCGCCTTGCTCCTCAAAAGGATGCCAAGAAACTGCTTAAAAAGCAGCATGCTAAAGAAGTCCTTCCTACAGTGTTCAAATACCGCCTCTCGCCCACCACCTGAAGGCTGCTGAGAGCCAGACTGCTCCTGCCAGACACTTTATCTCCATTTTTATGCCGGAGGGGACAGAGGCACGTCGCTGTCTCGGAGGTGGCCTTCAAGGCCATGGCCCTCAGTTGCTGGTGGGCAGGGAGCTGCTGCCCTCCCAGGCTTCCTGAATCCCGCTCCTTCCCACCACTGCGTGTGGGCAGCGGCAGCGCAGCCCGAAGGAAGAGGAGGGTGAGAACCACCTGAAATGCCAGAAACACCTCCCACGCCTTCCTGCAGTGTGACATGTGGCTCTTCCACCCACCGAGCCCGGCACGGACCTGCAACCCCAACCCAAGCAGCTAATTCGATGCCCAAATCGCCGTAACACCCAAGGGCAAGATGAGGAATCATGGAATTGTTGGAGTTGGAAGGGACCTCTAGAGATCATCCAGTCCAACTCCCCTTCCAAAGCAGGGTTGCCCAGAGCACATCACTCAGGGCTGCATCCAGGTGGGTCTTGAAGATCTCCAGAGAAGGGGACTCCACACCCTCCCTGGGCAGCCTGTTCCAGGGCTCTGGCACCCTCACCGTAAAGAAGTTCTTCCTCATATTTGAGTGGAACTTCCCATGTTCCAGCTTGTGCCCATTGCCCCTCATCCTGTCACTGGAAACCACTGAAAAGGGTCTGGCTCCATCCTCCCTCAACTTATAAGGATTAATAAGGTCTCCCCTCCACATAAACGTGAGGAGGAACTTCTTTACTTTGAGGGTGGCAGAGCACTGGAATAGGCAATGGGTATTTATCATCCTAAAAAGAGCAGGAAGGGGAGAAACAAGGCTACAAAGAAGCCAAAAGTTACAATTCTCTTTTTTTTAGACAAAAAGCCTTTGTCTAAAACCTATTCCCTAATTGAAATTTAATCAGTAATAACAAGGTTATTGTTCCTTAGGAAGATCAGAGAAAGAATAAAGCTGCCATCTCTGCTGCTTATAAATCCAACACATGGGGGTTTCTCCTTCATACTCCTCAGGCAGAAAGGCAGGAGAGGTCTCCACCTCCCAGCCGGCAGAGAAGGAAGGCTGCTTTGGTCCTGCTAACCACCATGGCCCCAAATCCAGCAAAATACTTTAAAAATGTCAATTTTTGCGCCCCCCGGTTGTTTCATAAAGTGTTTGATAGATGCTGGAGATGATAGCTGCAATCAGTGAGAGGCCTGCTGTGCTTGAGACAGGAAATTATCCTGGTGGGGCTGGGCAAAACCTCACTCCAAACAGTGAGCTAACAGCTTGCAAAGTTGGTAAGGTCTTCTGAAGAAACCACACTGAAATACCGACCACATGAAGTGGCAGTCAGCAGCTGAGCACCACGGCGTGAGCAGAGGAACCGTGGTAGTATCTGAGTTCAGACTGAAGTGATGGTGAGGGGTGTTTTTTGGGAGCAGATGAGTGTCAGGAAAGAAAAGAAAAAAGCAGAGAAGGTGAAAAAACATGCCCCCCCCCAGCAGAGCAGCATCAGAGGTGGAAAATGAGGCAGCTGAGCACCACGGCGTGAGCAGAGGAACCGTGGTAGTATCTGAGTTCAGACTGAAGTGATGGTGGGGGGGTTTTCTGGGGAGCAGATGAGTGTCAGGAAGGAAAAGAAAAAAGCAGAGAAGGTGAAAAAACATGCC